AATATGAGGATTTAAAGATTGAACTGCAAAGACTCTGGCACAAGCCAGTCAAGGTGGTCCCAGTGGTGATCGGCACACTGGGTGCAGTGCCTAAAGACCTTGGCCTGCACTTAAACACAATCGGCACTGACATAATTACCATCTGCCAGCTGCAAAAGGCCACCTTACTGGGATCTGCACGCATTATTTGCCGATACATCACACAGTCCTAGACACTTGGGAAGTGTCCGACGTGTGATCCAATACAACAGCTAGCAGAGTGATCTTGTCTGCTGTGGACTCATCTTGTTGTGTTTCAAATAATAATAGTAGTAATAACAATAATTTTATTTCCTACCCTCCTCTCCTCTTGACTAGAGGGGGGTTACTACATAGCTAAAAACAGATAATCATCTAAAACATTCTATAAAATACACATATTAAAACATATTTCTATAAAATGCTTAATAAAATATGCAGAAAAAAGATGAAATACCAGGTGCAAGTTTAAAATTTGTGATTAAAACTGGCTGGGAAGACATGGGCTGAATCTACACTGCCCTGTACACAGAATCTGATCCCAGATTATTTGCTTATCCCATATTATCTAGCTGTGTAGACTCATATAATCCAGTTCAAAACAGATAATCTGAGATTAGATCCTGGAGTATAGGGCAATGTAGATCCAGCCATAGGCACATGCACACATACACCTCTAGCCATTGTTTGAGCTTTAAACCTTTATACTCTTTTATACTCATATTATCTTCTTTTATTGGCGCCAAAATGGTTTTAGCTGGAGACCCAGGATGCATCCACACTGTAGAATGAATGCTGTTGCACCACTTTAACTACCCTGGCTCAATGTTATGGAATCATGGGAGTTGTAGTTTTGCAAGGTCTTCAGCCTTCTCTCTCAAAGAGCACTAGTACCTTACCAAACCACAGCTTGCAGGATTATTATTATTATTACTACTACTACTACTTTATTTTTATACCCCTCCACCATCTTCCCGAAGGGACTCGGGGCAGTTTACATGGGGACCAAGCCCAACATACAGCAAAATTTATCATCTAAAACACAGTAAAAAAACATAATAACACAGTTAAAAGATAATAACATATAATATAAACAATCTAATTAAAATGATTGAAAACAGCAAAATATAACAACATCGTAAAAGTGTATCAAACTAATCGCAACAACCAGTAACCAGGAATATGGTGGCATAATCAGATTAGAGAGGGCAGGGCATAGACTGTGCAAATACCAAACTATAGGGCTGGGCTGGGGGTTAACTGCTGAATACAACCGTCTCAGTATGCTACCTTCTCTATGCTACCCAAAATGAATATATATATTCATTGCATTGTGCCATGGCAGTTAAGAATGATGTCAACTGCATTAATTCTACAGCGTAGATGAAGCCTTAGATACTAGAGTTAAGTTTCCCGACCATAGGAGTTTAAATTGTTGTGCATTTAGTATCTTTGCCATAGGTTCCGTATCAGAAGCTACGAAAAATCTGACTATCTATACCTCAAAGTTTTATTTTTATCTAATTATCTCATACTCTGATTGTCCAAAGCAGACCACCAAAAGCATTGAAACCTGTCATTCCATAGCACTGAGTGATGGCAGTTAAAATGCTGTGAAAGTGCATTGATTCTCTAGTGTAGATGTGTTCCAGGGTTTGAATCCCTGCTTTGCTGTGGCAGCCCTTTGGATGACTTTGGGTGAGTGTGGTCTTTTGTTGGTTTCAGAGGCAAAGAAAAAAAAAGGTGAACTGTTATTTAATTAGGTGAAACATAATACTCTTTGCATCTTGATTTTAAATCGGCTGTCAGGATGGCAAAAGACAGACTTTAATCATTTTAAAATCCACTTGCCAGGAAAGGAATAAGGTTGCGTCCAGGCAGTGCCCAAACACGAACGTGACAGAAACTGCAGACTAAATCTGGCTACCAGCTTTAGCAAACTTTAAAATCAGGTCAATAACTAAAGAGCAACACTCAAAAAATAGGAGAATTCCACACAGAAATCAATCAGGGCCAGCTAACATTTCCCAACAAAGGATTTCTCCAGGCAGGAAGCAGCCAGGCTTTGGAGCTGTAAGACCATTCAATGCTAATAAAGGTGGCTAATTCCCACATTCACACTTGCCTCAAGCAGTCAAGAGTTCTTTCTCCCACCCTGGACATTCCACAGATATAGATACCTCACTTGCCTAGTTTCCAACAGACCTCACAACCTCTGAGGATGCCTGCCATAGATATGGCCGAGACGTCAGGAGTAAATTCTACTGAAACATGGCCATACAGCCCGGTAAACTCACAGTAACCCAGTGATTCAAGCCATGAAAGCCTTCAAGAACACAAGGTGTTAAACTTTTTTTGTGGAACCAGGCCTATCCTAATGACTAATAATAAGCAATGACCAGATAGCTACGAGTAATATACACCTCTGAATGTTATTTGTACTTGGCAATGCTGCTATATAGCCTAATGAAGATACAGAAAGGAAGATATAAAAAGGAAGTTATGCTACCTCACCCTGTACAAGAAAGGAAATTCCTTTCAACAATTTCAACAGAAAGGAGGAAACCATGAAAATGAACAAAATCTGGCTTGTTGTTGTTGTTGTTCATTCGTTCAGTCGTCTCCGACTCTTCGTGACCTCATGGACCAGCCCACGCCAGAGCTCCCTGTCGGCCGTCACCACCCCCAGCTCCTTCAAGGTCAGTCCAGTCACTTCAAGGATGCCATCCATCCATCTTGCCCTTGGTCGGCCCCTCTTCCTTTTACCTTCCACTTTCCCCAGCATAATTGTCTTCTCTAGACTTTGCTGTCTCCTCATGATGTGGCCAAAGTACTTCAACTTTGTCTCTAGTATCCTTCCCTCCAGTGAGCAGTCGGGCTTTATTTCCTGGAGGATGGACTGGTTGGATCTTCTCGCACTCCAAGGCACTCTGGCTACCAGTATTAAAAAAGCTCTAAAATTGCAACAGCACAACAACAGAGAGGAAGCAGGCAGGGACATCTAATTACCTCTCAACAAAAGTTTTTCTCCAAGCACAGTCAGCCCAATGTATGTTAATCAAGGTGGTCAGTTGAAACATTCACACCTAGCTCCAGCAGACAAAAGTCCTTTGTCTCCCCCTGGTCATTCCACAGATATATAAACCCTTTTTCCTAGTTCCAACAGACCTCACTACCTCTGAGGATGCTTGCCATAGATGCAGGCGAAACGTCAGGAGAGAATGCCTCTAGACCAGGGGTCCCCAAACTACGGCCCGCGGGCCCACCAAGGGCCCTTATCCGCCCGCGGAGGAGCGCCCCCCCCCCACACACAGTGCCCCTCCGTTGGCTGGCTCACGCTATCCGTCAGGCCCGATGGACAGCGTGAGCCAGCCAAGGGTAGCTGCTCCGCGTGGCCTACTCGCACATAAAGGACCTCCCAAGGTGCTTTACAAGCAAGTAGGCCGCATGGGGCTGCTCCTCCTTTGGCAGGCTCACTCTATTCGTCAGGCCCGATGGACAGCGTGAGCCAGCCAAGGGAGGCTGCCCCGGCGCTCCATGCAGTCATGCCAGCCACATGACCTTGGAGGTGTCTACGGACAACGCCGGCTCTTCGACTTAGAAATGCAGATGAGCACCACACCCCAGAGTCAGACACGACTGGACTTCATGTCAGAGGAAAACCTTTAACCAGGAAAATTGTGGAAGATCCAGGGTGGGAGAAAGAACTCTTGTCTGTTGGAGGAAGGTATGAATGTTTCAATTGGCCACCTTGATTGCCATTTCATAGCCTGACAGTTTTTAGGGAGAATCCTTTGTTGAGAGGTGATTAGCTGGCCCTGATTGTTTCTTGTCTGGAGTTCCCCTGTGTTTGAGTGTTGTTCTTTATTTACAGTTATAATTTTAGAGTTTTTTAATACTGGTAGCCAGATTTTGTTCAGACTAGAAATAGGAAGATTTCCCATTCTCTGCTCCTGGAATTACTGCCTAAAGAGGGCTAGAAAGAACCCCCTCTAAGGGCCCTTCCACACAGCAAAATAAGATATGTGCAATGTGCATAGGAATTTTTTAATTGATTTTTTAAAAAAAAAAACTATAGTCCGGCCCTCCATCGGTCTGAGGGACAGTAAACTGGCCCCGGGTTTAAAAAGTTTGAGCAGGGGTTCTCAAACTAAGGCCCTCCAAGGTCATTTACCCGGCCCTCGCTCAGGGTCAACCTAAGTCTGAAATGACTTGAAAGCACACAACGACAATCCTATCTCATCATCCAAAAGCAGGCCCACATTTCCCATTGAAATACTAATAAGTTTATATTTGTTAACATTGTTCCTCATTTTAATTATTGTATTGTTTTTAAGTGTTTATTACACTACAAATAAGATATGTGCAGCGTGCACAGGAATTCATGTTTTATTTTTCAAATTATAGTCCGGCCCTCCAACAGTTTGAGGGACTGTGACCTGGCCCTCTGCTCAAAACGTTTGTGGACCCCTGCTCTAGAGGGCCATACAGCCCGAAAAAACCTACAAAAACCCAAAGGAGATTCCACCTGAACATTAGGAAGAACTTCCTGACTGAGAGCTGTTCAGCAGTGGAACTCTCTGCCCAGGAGTGTGGTGGAGGCTCCTTCTTTGGAGGCTTTTAAATAGAGGCTGGATGGCCATCTGTCAGGGGTGCTTTGAATGCAATTTTCCTGCTTCTTGGCAGACTGGGGTTGGACTGGATGGCCCATGGGGTCTCTTCCAACTCTATGGTTCTATAATTCTATGCAGCAGGGCAAAGCCACTTGCTGCCCTCCCGGTGTGAAACTGCATGAAATCCTCAGTGTAGCTGAGCTTGAGCCCTGCAAGTTGAAGAGAGGACTTGAATGTCGGCCAAAACTGATCTCCCCGCTCTTTTCTTTTGCCCCTTCTTTCTTCCTTGGCGAGAGAAGGAGCTGTTTTCCGACCGCGGGTTGGGTGGCCCTCCCAGGATGTGCTGCTGCTGCTCCGATCAGCCCCGCCTCCCTTTGCCTCCTGGCTTTGACTCCCTGCTCTCGCTCTCAGATGCGTCGCTGCTCCAAAGCAAGGCATCGCAGGCGCTCCGCTTCGTCCCTTCCCTTCCCTTGGACATCCAAGGCCAATATGACCCGGGAGAGCCTTCTTCCATAGGTGAGTTGTGCCGCTCTCTCTACCTCCCTTGCATCAGTTCCACCTGGGTCGACCGGTGGAACGCCCTGCGACTTGATTTGGATCCGGAAGGGAAATAAGAGGGGAAAATATCTGAAGTTTGGCTTGGGGAGAAAAAGCAGGGGATAAATAAACATCATCACCATCATTATCATAGCCATAATACACTATGGGATGAATACAGCTTGACCCCAAACGCGATGGAAGCTGCTCTTTGAGAGTAAATTGACTCAAAAGCAGCTGACTACTATATTGTTGTATCTTGACTATGTTTTAATACAAGTAATCTCCAAGTTAGGAACAAAAGAGGGTCTGGAGGTTTGTTCTTAAGTTTTTTTTTTTTGTTTGGTCGTGTCAGGAGTGACTTGAGAAACTGCAAGTCGTTTCTGGTGTGAGAGAATTGGCCATCTGCAAGGACGTATCCCAGGGGATGCCCAGATGTTTTGATGTTTTGATCTTCCTTGTGGGAGGCTTCTCTCATGTCCCCACATGAGGAGCTGGAGCTGACAGAGGGAGCTCATCTGCACTCTCCCTGGATTCGAACCTGTGACCTGTTGGTCTTCAGTCCTGCCGGCACAGGGGTTTAATCCACTGCTGCCACCGGGGGCTTTGTGAACAGAGGTATCGGACCACAGTTTGACTTCAGCCAGCATGTCCAAATAGCTAATAATTATGGGAGTTTTAGTACCCAAAGTGATGGGCATCCCTGTTTGGGAAAGCATGCATTATAGTTTGGTAATGAAAATATGGGGGGGGGGGGGAATGGCAACTATACAGAGTCAAGGGACCTAGTAAATGAATGGGATGTATATGCATGCTGACTAGGCTTGTGTACGGATTCCTTTGGGTTGATTCCCTTCGGCCAATCCGGATTGTTTTTTTGGTTTGGCCGTGTCAGGAGTGACTTGAGAAACTGCAAGTCGCTTCTGGTGTGAGAGAATTGGCTGTCTGCAAGGACGTAGCCCAGGGAATGCCCAGATGCTTTGATGTTTTATCATCCTTGTGGAAGGCTTCTGTCATGTCCCCACATGAGGAGCTGGAGCTGACAGAGGGAGCTCATCTGCACTCTCCCTGGATTCGAACCTGTGTGGGCTAAGACAATCGATGGAAGTGCTAGCGAGTGTCATATACACAGGCTTCCAATCTCCTGAGGACTAGCAAGCTCTGCACTCTCCCTGGATTCGAACCTGTGACCTGTTGGTCTTCAGTCCTGCCGGCATGGGTTTAACCCACTGCGCTACCGGGGACTCCATGTTCTTAAGTTGAATATGTTTGTAAGTTGGAACCAGAGGCGGCCCTAGGTGATTTTCAACAATAAGCAAACAACCAGGCACATCTTAACACCTCTCAACAGGAGATTTTCCCAGGCTCAGGCAGGCCTTCAAATGCTAAGGAAGGTGGTCAGTTGAAACATTCACACCTAGCTCCAGCAGAGAAGAGCTCTTTGCCCCACCCCAGCCATTCCACAGATATATAAACCCATTGTCCTAATTCCAACAGACCTCACTACCTCTGAGGATGCTTGCCATAGATGCAGGCGAAACGTCAGGAGAAATGCCTTTAGAACATGGCCCTATAGCCCGAAAAAACCCACAAGAACCTAATAAGCAAACAGTATTTTGGTGCCCCCCCCCCCCCAACCAATCACTGATATATATTTTCTGTTCGTCGTGGGAGTTCTGTGTGCCATATTTGGTTCAATTCCATCATTGGTGGAGTTCAGAATGCTCTTTGATTGTAGGTGAACTATACATCCCAGTAACTACAACTCGCATATGTCAAGGTCTATTTTCCCCCAAGAGCGCCCCTGGGTAAAATCAACTATACTGCAAATGCTTACTTTGCGTAATGGGTTGAGCCGCCCCTGGTTGGAACAGGTATATATTTTAAGTGTAACTCCATAGATAGATAGATAGATAGATAGATAGATAGATAGATAGATAGATAGATAGATAGATAGATAGAGTATATTTTGAAAGTGTAACTCCAGCCATTATATATATATGTGTGTGTGTGTGGTACATTTTAAGTGTAACTCCAGCCATTTATTTTATTTATTTATTCATTTATTTATATCCTGCTTCATCTCTCAAAGCGGCTCACAATCAAAGATATTACAACTTCAAATATACTAATATGCAATAATAAAACAGTATATCATTATATAGTCTATATTATTATAGATTACCAGCAGTAATTATATTTAATTTATTAGTATTACTATATTAAAAGGTAAAGGTTTTCCCTTGACATTAAGTCTAGTCGTGGGGTGTGGTGCTCATCTCTATTTCTAAGCCGAAGAGCCGGCGTTGTCCATAGACACCTCCAAGGTCATGTGGCCAGCATGACTGCATAGAGCGCCGTTACCTTCCCACCAGAACAGTACCTATTGATCTACTCACATTTGCATTTTTTTTGAACTGCTAGTTTGGCAGAAGCTGGGGCTGACAGTGGGAGCTCCCCTGCTCCCCAGATTTAAATCTACAACCTTTCAGTCAACAAGTTTAGCAGCTCAGCAGTTTAACCCACTGCGCCACTGGGGGCTCCATAGATATAGTGTATTTTAAAAGTGTAACTCCAGCCATAATATATATACGTGTGTGTGGGGAGGGGTACATTTTAAATGTAACTCCAGACATTTATTTGTTTATTAATTCATTCATTTATTTATGTCCTGCTTCATCTCTCAAAGTGACCCACAATCAAAGACATTACAACTTCAAATATATAAATATGCAATAATAAAACAGTGTATCATTATATATTCTATATTATTATATATGATCAGCAGTAATTATATTTAAGCTGTTAGTATTACTATATTACAATATTATCATTATTATATTGTATTATATTGTACTACATTATAATATTATTACCAGTTATATGTCTGTACAAGATATCATTAGCATAGGACAATATTAGTATTATATATTTCTATATTGTACTATACAGCTAGACTCCAATATTATTAGTAATAATGCATATAATATATAACATACACTTATTATATTGTTATATAATATTATATTGTACTATATTATTATGCCACAATATATATAGTACACTACCAGTATATTCTACTATTAGTATGATATATTAATTATATAATATTATTAATATAATTTATTGTACCATATCATAAGTTGTAGTATATATAATACTACAACTTATGATATGGTACAGTAAATTATAGTACATATAATGGAGCCCCCGGTGGGTTAAAGCACTGAGCTGCTGAGCTTGTTGATCGAAAGGTCGCAGGTTCGATTCCGGGGAGCAGCGTGAGCTTCCACTGTCAGCCCTAGCTTCTGCCAACCTAGCAGTTCGAAAACATGCAAATGTGAGTAGATCAATAGGTACCACTCCGGCAGGAAGGTAACGGCGCTCCATGCAGTCATGCCGACCACATGACCTTGGAGGTGTCTACGGACAACGCTGGCTCTTCGGCTTAGAAATGGAGATGAGCACCACACCCCAGAGTCAGACATGACTGGACTTAATGTCAGGGGACTACCTTTACCTTTTAGTATATATAATATACGATATATTACATAACAACATTATTAATATTATATAATATATATTAGTATTATTACATTACAATTTTATTATTTCTATATATTATAATGTATTGTATATATTGAGGGGCTCCCAAGTGATGCTGCAGGGGACACACACATATATATGGTACATTTTTAAGGTGTAACTTTAGATAAATAGATAGATAGATGGTACATTTTTAAGTGCAACTCCATTCTACATATGTATGTATTTGCTCTCTCTTTCTCTCCCTCTCTATATATGGATAGCATAGGGAGTTTGCTTTGTAGTCTGTGCCCCTCATTGGAAGATTGCCTCTCACTTTCTGTCCCTGTGATATTTTGATTTTGAAAAATGTTATGGAAACAAGGATTGGTGAGAAAGCTTGAGTGGAGAGACGTTTTCGCCATGATGTCTCTTCCAAGAGTGATCTCCCCTTCTGAGGGTTGGATTCCTTTCACTTCCTGTTGCCACACCCCCGTTCTTAACTATGAGTCGTTTGCAAGTTGGATGTTTGTAACTTGGGGATTACTTGTGTATAATATTATAGTTGTACAGTATTTATATGTGGTGCCCTGCCTCGAGTTAAAAGGAGAGGTGTGCAATAAATAATAATAATAATAGGCATTGTTGTTGTTGTTGTTGTTGTTGTTGTTGTTTGTAAATCCCATTACATTGAGCTGAGGTTTAATGGACTTCCAAGTAAACATGCATATAAGGGTGCATCTACACCAGGCATGGGCAAACTTTTTAACTTGGGGACCACTAGAAGGACTGTCTGCCCCGTGATGGAAGGAAGGAAGGAAGGGAAGGAGCAGGCCCGTACCCAGGATTTTTTTTTTTGGGGGGGGGGCTAGTTTGGATTCGAGGGGAGGGGCTGAGTTTGTTGGGGGGGGGCTGAGTCTGAGTGAAAGAGGGTCTACCCTAGCAAACCTTTTGTATCGTTACCCCAATATCCCCGTGCATATGGGATATATTGAGCATGGTGATCAGATCATGATATGAATAAACATAACAGTTTAAATAATGCACCAGTAAGGCCTTCTTCGTGAACCACCATGAGAATTTCGGGGGGGGGGGGCTGAAGCAAGGGAAGGATAAAGGAAAGAGAAGAAGGAAAGACAAAAGGAAGGAGGAAGGAGAGAGAAGGAGGAAGAGGGAAGGAAAGGATGAAAGGTGGAAGGGAGATGGAAGGAAAGAGGAGGGAAGGGAAGGAGCAAGGAAAGAGGGAAGGAAAAAGAAGGGAAGGAAGGTGGAAGGAAGATAAGGAAGGAAGGGAATGATAAAGGAAAGAGAAGAAAGAAGAAGGAAAGGAAGGAAGAGAGGAAGGAAGGAAGGAAGGATAAAGGAGAGAAGGAAGGAAAGACAAAAGGGAAGGAAGGAAGGAGAGAGAGAGAAAAGAGGGAAGGAAGGATGAAAAGGGTGGAAGGGAAGGAGAA